AGATGTGTATAAGAGACAGGGGTAAGATCGGCGGCTAACTGCGTCTGCGTTAGAATGGGATTTCCCTGCTCTATGTACGATGGTCATGTTATGGGCTTGCAGCATCATGACCCACCTGGAAAATTTGCCGACAGACTGTTTCAACGAAAATAACCATTGCAAAGCTGCGTGATCAACATAGGCAGTAAACGGGTTAAATCTGAGATATGGGTCTAATTTCTTAACTGCAAACACAAGTGCAAGACACTCCTTTTCAGTAATACCATAAGATTGCTCTGTTGGATTAAGTGACCGTCCTACATAACCAATTACCCTTGATTTACCATTTTGGAGCTGACAGAGAACCCCGCCTATAGCATAGGAGCTCGCATCTGTGTATAATTCAAATGGAAGGGAAAAATCTGGGTAACTAAGTATAGGAGCCGAGGTTAGCAGATCCTTTAGCTTTTCAAAGGATTCTTGACACTCCGAGGTCCACTGAAACTTCCTACCTTTCTTAGTTAATGAATACAATGGGGCTGCAATGGCCGAATAACCTTTAACAAACTTTCTGTAATATCAAGACAGCCCAAGAAAGGCTCGGACATCAGTGAGACTCTGAGGTGTGGGGTATTCACTAACTGCCGCGAGTTTTTCTGGATCGGGTGAAATGCCTTCTTTACTCACGGAATGACCTAGATAGCGCAGAGTGCGCACTGCAAATTTACATTTGTTTGGGCGCAACTTGAGGCCAGCTTTGGAGAGTCGATCAAAAATTACATTAAGGTGTTGAAGGTGAGAACTAAAATCTTTGGAGAATATCAGTATATCATCCATATATATCAGACAATTCTTCCAGGATAACCCATGTAAAACCGCCTCCATCACTCTTTGAAAAGTACTTGGGCTAGATCTAAGGCCCATGGGCAAACGACGAAATTGAAATAAACCCAAATGACACCGAAATGCGGTATATTGACGCGAATCGGGATGGAGGGCGACTTAATAATAATAATAATAGTTGGACTTGTAGAGCGCATCATGCGAAAAAGCTACTTGGTAAAATCCACTCTGTAGGTCAAGAGCAGAAAATATTGTCGGCTGGCCTGTCCCTATGGTATCCAGGGCTTCTTCTATAGTTGGGAGTGGGTGAGCATCCATCTTAATGAATTTATTAATGCCTCTATAATCAGCCACAAAACGGAAACCTTGACCCCCTTTCTTTGTTACTAGTAGGCATGGGGCCCCCCATGGTGAAGTGGAGGGTTCAATAATACCTTGCGTTGACATATCCTGTATCATATGTTCCAGAACTTTCTTTTGTTTGGGGCCTAGGCGATAACACCTTTGTCGAACAGGTGCTTGTGATTGATCTATATTTATCTTATGGTTAATTCTTCGCAAAATCCCAATCTATTGTCTGGACCTACAAAGAGAGAGGTGCCGTATCGATCAATAAGACTGCTTAATTCAAGTTTTTCTAGGTCCCCGAGGTCACATTCTTCAAAGTTTACTAGGCTAGATGCTTTCCATTGTGGAATATCATTGGTTATAGGAAGCTCGGTACCATGTAATTTATGTCCATATGTTTTTGTGGGTCGAGATGTAGTTGATGATTGAAGTGTGTTGATAGTGGGTTTTTTTTTATTATAATTTTCTGTGTCACTGATGTGTAAGGGAGTTGTAGTGTCTCCTGTATCTTCAATGTTGTGAATATTGTCAGTTGGAGAAAGACAAGTGAATTTGCCTAAATGAAAACCGATTGGGACATGAATCGGATGTTCTGAAAAATTCGCACATCCATAATGTATGTTCATGTTGTGGTTATTTGACAAGGACTTAGTTACCAACAACCCAGTTGCTGTAAGATCTGGAGACCCTGTAGTGGTGCCTATAACTTCATCAGGCAAAGGCGGACCAGCAATCCTTGCAAGTAAAACTACTTGAGAGTGAGGGGGAACTGTAAGGTCATATGGAGCTATAACATCCCTAGTTGGATTTAGTACTACGTGCATACCGTCCCCATTTACATTAATAGTGGCTTTGTTCTGAATGAGAAATTCCATTCCCAAAATAATATGGGGGTTAACTCCAGGTACAATATACAATTTACAATACACTTCTTTTGACTCTACTGTTGCTACACAACATATCATACCTTCAATGGGTATGGTTTCATCAGTGGCAGTAGTAATAAGTTGCCTATCAGATTTCATAACTTTCAATTCATTAAATGGTTTACACCTTAACATATTAGAATTTAACACACTGACATGTGCTCCAGTGTCAACCATAGCAAATAGATTTGTCCTGTTAACATTGATAGTAATATAGTTACTTAGGTATAACGAGTTATTGGGATTATTACTAATTTTAGGATCACTGTGCATTGGTTTATGACTAAATGAGCTACTATCAGTAAATATCTTACCAACATAATTGCATTGGTATTGTAAATGTCCAACATTACCACATTTATAACATTTTTTTTGGTGATCTAGGTCGTGGCTGAGGGTGCTGACGTACTGGCGGTGCTCCATAGTTGCTCCTTTTCTGCGCCTGGTTAGAGTAATTTGGTGACCAGTGTCTGTACGGTTGTGTAGTTGAATATTGATATCCTGTTTGCGTCATTGGTCTATTCCCAAATGTCACCATCGCGCATTCGGGTGCTGCATGACCTTTATTACCACACATTTGACATACGATTGTTTGTTTTTGGGTGATTGTGCAGTATGGCGCTGTGTGTCCATCTTGTAAACATAGTTGGCATTTAGTACTAGGATTATTCTTAAGGCTAGGATTTTCTGTTTCCTTGGAGTCAGTGATTTTTAAATTTCCCAAAATTTCGACAGCTTCCTCTGCCCTAGCTATGTTCATTACTGAATTAATGTCCGTAGGCTGGCCTCTCACTACATGTTTTTTTATTACTGGCCGGAGTCCTTGTATTACATAGTGTAATTGTTCTGACTCATCAATATTCAATCTATAACATAGGTGTATTACCTTGTTTGTATAATCGTCTACGTTCTCATCCTCTTGCTGTCTGGTATTTAATAATTCTTGTCTCAATTGAAATATCTGTGCTGGCTGAAGTGTATATTTATTTAAAAATTCCTGCTTCAATAATTCATAGTTGTTGATTGTGTTCTGATCAATTGTACGAAGCCATTTAGCAGCCTTGTTATGTAAAAGGTTTTTCATGCCTGCGAATTTTTTCTGGTCGTCCCACCGTGCAAATTCGCAGAACCTTTCGAACGTATAAATCCACTCGTCGGCGTCTTCCTTTGTTGTTTCACCGGTAAAAGGTGGCGGCCTAAAACTGTTATTTGCCATGACTAGGACTAGTATTATGAGTATAAATAGTGTTATCACCTGCCCGGGTCTTCCACCATATGTCACGAGGCCTTCCTCTCGGCTCCGCCCGGGATCACACCATAACATCAATAACAATACTAGACAACCTATTACTGTCTCACAAACACATGTCTTTATTCGCCATGTTTCTTCCTACTTTCTCTCTACCTCACCCTCACAGAGGGCGCTATTGCAGTTCCCTTCACAGAACCATATAAAGAACAAAAGTCACATTGAAGAGCCTTATCATTATCAGAGATTTTAGCATCACATTCTCCACACTTATCCCCTGCTGATTCCCTACTAGACATAATTGACACTGCTGGGCCTAGCCAAAAAATCACTCGAATCGTAAGGAAAATTATAAAAATAGATGTTTGGTAAAACTATTAAAGGTGCCTAAGCAAAGTAATTAGTCGTTATTTAAAAGATTTGAGATAGTAAAGAAGAGGAAAATCACTAAATAAAAGACAGATTTTACCAGAAACCAAAAGCAGGTCTGACCACAGTACTTTAGGCTTACTTTTTTTCTTTAGGTATACATGTCTTTATTTTTTTCGTTGCTAGCTACCATACACTTGTGTATTCTTCGGGCTTTATAAAATGCTAGTGTTATTTACGATTCCTTATCATTTATTGTTGTATTGAACTGAACTAATACTTATATCATTCAAGTTTGTTCGCCAGTGGTACTTGTTGGAGATCCCAATTATTTACAGTATTAATTTAATGTGTTTAGCCTACCCATCTGACGTTTTATGATTATTAAAGACGATTTTGTAATTTGGAAATTGACAATGTGTTGTAATTAATTTAATTGAAAAAAAAAGCCAGTTTATTTATAGTTGGTTTCTAGTTGGGATCTAGTAAGCTACTAATTGCGTTATCTATTTTAACATATCATTAAAATTGCTGGTAAAGCTATTAGGCATGTTTGTAAACGTCATCTGCTTTGAAGTGATGATAAGATAGAGTATTTTTCATTTTTTTTCCAAACCAAAAAACAGCGAAACCGTCAAGGTAACTTTACCATTCAAGCTATTACTCATGTATTAACTATAATTACAAATAAAAGACGGACCTTCAAAATGAAGAACAATTGGAAGCCAATAATTTTATTTATGTTGACACAAGAAGTGAGAATAAATAATATAATCACAACTAATTATACAGTACATGCTAAACATTCCTTATTTGTTACGGTTTTTCAAATCTTAATTGACATATATTTTGGGGGTAAAAATGTCACTTTATTATGTTACTGTACTTTATGAACATACGCTTTTGCGTCAACGATTGTGTATTCACTTACCTACTGTAATTTGAATAATTACGGGGTTTTTTCATGTGTTGTTTTTATAGCTCCTCGTTACGATATTTTAATAGACATAAATAACTAAAAAAATGTCCTTACTGCCCTTAATTTGTGGCTATGGTAGTTCTTGTAATTGTTGTGGATTATGTTTGTTGAGTTTTTATTTGGTGTGGTTCCTGTGGTAGTTGTGTCTGTTGTGGCTATGATTGTTGCTATGTTGATTTTAATTGTAGAATCCCAAATTACAACTGACACTATATAGGCCAAACATCCTCCATCGAAGTTGGCCTATAGCGTGAAGGCTGAATATGGATTGTCATATATTAAGTATCAATTTAGTGCATTTGTTTACCTTTCTTTCCAGGCCAGAAACAACATAGCATTACCAGTGACGTTATGCTAGTAGCCATCGTAATGTATGTTCCAACTTTAATTAATATATGCGAACAGTCTGTTGAATTATTTTCTTCTTCATTGCTAGTTGTACTTTCGTCTCCATTGAGTGTCGAGCATTCTGAATGGCCAGCAATACACAAAGAAGATCCGATACAGCTAGTACATAAAACAATGATATAGATTGCAAAAAACAACTTCTCCGATTCCGGCGTCATCATTGATCAGTATTACAGCAGCTCGACAAAATATATTCCTTTCTTGTTTGAGTAATTTCATGCCCAGAAGACACAGTAAACATGTTTGTTAAGTCTGGATTTTATCAGAGATGGTGACATTTATGAACTTCACTATCTAACATATATTATTTCTTCAACATGCATTTAATTTTTGTTTAAATAACATGTTTGTTAACTTATAAAAGCACATGAAAGTAACTTTGGTATGGAGTTTCACCTCCGCTTGGTGGCCAATTCATTATCATAAATTAATAGTGGGTTATCTAACTATATACACATGTTTTGGTTGATTACCATGGTCTTTACAGTACAACGGGAGAATGACTCACCTACTTTGCCTCATATTCGACGCCAGCCCATTTATCAACACAATAGACCTAGGTTAAATACTTTTAATGTGCGATTGATTTGGAAAATATGATAAGTCGTTAGTGATAATAAAACATTGACCCTGCTGCTGCCGCCGCCGCCACCACCACCAGCACCACAACTAAAACAACTACTATTACAACAATACTATGATCACAGGCCCGTATCCAGGGGGTTTTATGGTTCGGGAGAACCCCCTTTTCTGGCAACCCCCCCCCCCCCTCTTTTATGACGGGGCCACTTTCTAAGTATGCAAATTGGCTAAACAATACACTATCAGTACACTATTCATGCTATTTTATTCCTATCTTGTGCATCCAATAGAAAGCTCAATTTTCAAAAGAAGAATATTTGGTCATTAACATTGCACTTAATCAAGAAACAATATCGGTTTCATAACAATTTAAGTTCAATTAATGAAATTAAAATTGGTGACAATTTAATTCAGATATCGTCTTGTGCTCGAAACCTTGGGGTTGTGATTGATTGAAAGCTTTCTATGACCAATCACATTTCCAATATTTGCAGGTCGTCCTACTCTTATCTTAAAAGTATTAGCCGTATACGGAAATCGCTTTCTCAGTCTGATACTGAAAAACTAGTTCATGGATTTATTTCATCTAGATTAAATAACTGTAATTCGTTGCTTGCTGGACTTCCAGCATATAAACTTAAACCACTTATTCGTGTCCAGAATGCAGCTGCTAGAAGAACACGTAAATACGATTATATTACTGACGTATACATTAGACTTGTTCATTGGTTACCGATTCCACAAAGGATTGAATTTAAATTGATAATAATGGTTTATAAATCACTACATGGTGTAGCACCACACCACAATATTTATCTGAACTAATTGAATTGCACACTCCAAAACGAAACCTTCGATCGGGATTTCAGTTTTTGGCAAAGGTGAAATCTGTTAAAGAACTGCAATCGGATGGTAAAAATTCTAAAGTAGCATTTAAAGACCGTGCTTTTGAGAATATTGGTCCTCGGCTTTTCAACACTGTACCCATTTATATTAGATCTTGTACTACCATTGAGGTCTCATTTGATTTAATGTTTAACTTTTTGTAGGTCAGGTATATTCAACTTGTAGTTCAGCTTCATGAAACTTGAGGTACTGTATATTCTTGCACTTTAAAAGCTCTTTATTTTAAATTTCCAAGACACATGATGTACTGTATATTCTTGCATTTTAATTGCTCTTTATTTTAAATCTCCAAGACACATGATGTACTGTATATCCTCGCATTTTAATTGCTCTTTATTTTAAATCTCCAAGACACATGATGTACTGTAGTTTTTTTTCCGGCATTTTTAACCTTTTGATGTAAATTTTGTGATGGTTTGGTAGACTTGTCTTGTCTTTTTCTTTTACAAAATACAAAAAAAAATCAGTGTTTTATCGTTCTATTTCATGTCGCGTTTTCTTTTATTTCAATGTTGATTTTTGATGTGTTAAATGGTATTGTGATTTTGTGATGATTATTGGTTTCAAACATTTCTATTAGCTTTTAATGTATATTTCTTATGTATGTTTAAAGTGTATGTAGGAATATTTTTAAATTCTGTACAGCGCCGATGAACATTTTTAATGGATATTGTTTTGCGCTTTATTAAATGAAGTTATTATTATTATTATCGGTTACATAACAACCTTTCGTTGTTTCAATTGAACATATCTGTTGATCTCATATCATAAGTGGATTTTTTTTTCTTTTAAATTAATTGTTATAAATTATGTTATAATTTAACTGTAACTCATACTTAGATCAATTAAAAAATTTAACTGTAACTCATACTTAGATCAATTAAAATAAACTTGTATAATTGTACCTTTCTACTACTGTTACTGCTATAAAAGTGACTGAAAATGTCATTTCTATCTTTGAACCTATTTATCTGGCATATCTAGGCTATCTCCATAACCGTTAGCTATAGGGGTTTCAAGTTTAAGTGGCGTATCTAGAGATTTTGAAATGGGGGTGGGGCGAAGGTGAAGTGGGGCCTTGATGATCAGTTGAGGGGCGCTAATTTGCAAAATAAGGTGATTTTATGTGATGTTTAACTACTTGACCGTGATTTTTTTTTGTGGGGAGGGAGCGTGAGTTTTTTTTTTTGTTTTTTTTTTGTGGGGAGGGAGCGACTGGAGGAGCAACTAATTTTTTGAGTGGCGTCCACCGTACAGGGAGTCAGTACCGGGAGGAGGTTTGCACAGATTTACAACAGTAGCAACAAGACCAGATAGTACGACTGAGGAGGACGTCCAGCCTGTGACTTCTTCTTCCAGCCCCAAACTAATTCGCCAAAGGTACACAATTGACAATTGAGGTGGTACCGTATACTGTATTACAATTTCTATACTAATAATAAGTTAGGCATATACATCATAAACAATTGTAATAAATAATAAATTTGATTCAATAGCATAATAGTCCAAACTCAAAGAAAAAGAAAATTTAAGTTGTGCTCCCGGAAGACACACACACCACAGACAGACCGTAGACCGACGGATAGGCAGACAGACAGAAAGAAGGGCGATATTGCAATACCCTTCGCATCACAGAGACGAGGGTAATTAATTTACTGTACATTGATTAACAGATACAAATAAAAAGTACGGTATATTATTTTAAAAAATTCACACTGAAAAGTCACATCAAAAACATTGCTGAGGAAGTACTGTGGTGACGAAGATTGAAGAAGAGCGAGACTCGATAAAAATTAAATATATTGTTTGCTCTCTCAGTCTTAAATCTTGTTAATGTGAATTGTTTTTTCTTAAATTATTGATGAACAAGGGTGATGGAACAAAATGGTTTAGTCGGTACTCATTCTTCTTTTTACTGTTATTCGTTGCTACAAACGACTGACAAATATGTTCCTTATTGCATACACGAGGTTCAATAATGTTTGCAAATTTAATTAAGAATCCAATGTTGAACATTATCGGGTCTGACACCTTGATAACGTTGAGTGCTGCTAATTTACATGAACGACTTCTGGGGAGATGCTGAACTTATCCGGTAGGCCTAGAGGATCTGAGCAAAAAATTAAGCAAATTGAGCAAATGGTTAACTATCAATGAATGACTTAAAAATGGGTTATTATGTTTTATGAAATCAGTTACTGTATTAAACTTTTTCCTTTTTTCAACTGTTAGAAAACAATGGAGATTTTTAATCACTGGGCTCAATGGACCTTTCCGCAATGGTTCCCTCTCTTGGATATTGTCTCAAAGGTCCCACAAAGCGACAGTGTTAAAACATAGGCAAACATGTGTGTTTATGGGACAACACGTGTGTTTGTGATACACGTTCCTTGTTTTGATTGGCCCTTCTTTTGATTGGCCAGTTGTTAAGTTTTATTGACACTCGGGAAACGTTCATTACACTCAGTTCTAAATGATTTCTTCCTTAACGAATCTTTCTGTGTATGGAGAGTTCATTGTTATGCCAGGGAGTTGTTATTAGATAACAACTCCCTGGTTATGCTATGGCTGCTCATCGTGTCTTGATAGTATGGTTAAAATTATTGTTCTATCTGGAATATAAAAAATTTGGCATGATTATATTTTTGTTTAACTGTATAACTTTATTGTTGGGAAAGAGCCTATATAATTAAAATCATTATAAGTCTGTGATCGCGGCAATAGTGTAGTACTAATCTATGTCCTTTACAGGCCTAGTGTGGCGTTCCATGTACTCTCGCACACTTGGGGGACTAGCCCAAAATAAGAGACAATTTGGCCTTCATTTCCAATTATACAACAATATAAACACTGGAACGAGCGTTTAAGCCTACTCGTGTCCTTTTAATTCTACCTTATCTCCCCTCGAGAGGGCGCTACCCATAGAAATAAACATAAGCCATGGGCTTCTTCTTCAGGACCCCTGGATTGGCTTCTTTTCGATTGGCATTTTTTCGGGATGAGCTTTTACGAGATTACTTCAGCAAACTAAAGAGAGGACTTCCTTTCAAATGAATGCTGTATTTTTAATTTTTTTTTTTTATTGCTACACGATATTTTTCAACTATTAGTCACAATTCAGTCTGAATGTAAAGCATCTTGAACCAGCCCATGGACTTTTTTCATGAACGTCTTTAATTTCCAGATATTTTGAAAACTAATTCTTTTGAGGTTTTACGGTATCGCATAAATCAATCGTTTGCTTTTTTAGTTTATCTTATCTGTGCTTCAATAGGTCTCTTGCAACCTGCATTTAAACTTCGAGTTAAATTCTGGCAGAAAATTTAACACCTTCGCCAATCAAAATATTGTCTCTTGTTTCGAAAGCTTCGTTCATCAGATTCGTCATATTTTTCATAATTTCAATCAAATAAGAAATACCACCGTGGGTTACCATTTTTTAAGACTTAAAAATATCTTTTAATTAAACTTCACCCTTATACATATAAGAAAACACGTAAATGGAATGGCCTGTACATTGTGGCATCTCGCCGTGAGTTATGCGAACAGAAAGGCTGGAATAAAATCATCCGAGTGCTTCATTTTGAGTATCATCTCATCATGTTATTATTTTAATGGTGCTATGGAACTCTCCAGCTAAACCATTAGTTCGAAGGCGTCTTAACCAAAGAACAAATAAATTTTCATTTTTAAATTTTGAATATTAATAAAACGGGTAACACTTAAATTTACAAAATTTGCAATCAATCAATCAATCAATCAATTTATTGGATCCACTTTTGATACATTGGCACTCATACAAAATGTATGGTATATCCAAGACACATAACGTAAAACATCGAATTGAAGCCCTGGGCTTCTTGGGCTTCTTTACACATCTAGATGTGTATAAGAGACAGGACCAAGCCGTCGTACCGGGCTGGGAAATAAGAGAAAAGAAAGACGGGAGAGGGAGGGAAAGAGAAAGAATAGGAAAAGAAAATGAAAGAAAAAGAAAAAGAGAAGAGAAAAATAAAGACAAGAATAAAAAGGAAGATATCATAATGACCAGACTCACAACACCTTCTTCACGTCAAAAACTGTCATAACTCATTTGATCCATGCTGCCTGATGGCGTAACCACTGGGGGACCAGGGGAAAATATCTATTTTTGAAAAATCTTCCCCACCCCTTTATAATGCCCTTTTCATCCCCTGAAAGTGCCTAAATACCTCAAATTTCGTGCGCTTCGCGCGCATTTCTTGTTAACATGGGCCAATTTCCTCTAAAAATTGCACATTTTGGGGAGTTTTGATCATTTCCAACGAAATTATAATTAAAAACACCGGGGGACAAGGGCTAAATATCCATCTTTGGAAAATCTTTCCCCATCCCTTGACAAATGCATCCTGAAAGTGCCTACAATTCTCAAATTCTTTGCGCGCATTTCTTGTTACGGTAGGCCAATTTCCTCTATAATTGCACATTTTAGGGAGTTTTCATCTATTCCGACGAAATTAGAATTAAAAACACAAAAATATTTTGCGCGCTTCGCGCGCATTTTTTGGGCTTTTTTAGGTTTATCCTTTTAAGTTATTTAAAGCACCAACACATAATAGTCCCAAACTCAAAAAAAAACAAATTTAAGATAGATCGTTTTAACCTAAAAGAAGGGCCTCAATGTGTATTGATGGTGAAAGAATATGTTTGTAATAAATAAAACCATGATGAAAATGCTTATATTTAGTTTCAAACACACGTGTGTGGCCTATATTATAAATAAGATAAGCCCTATGTCGTATTGTTTTCTATTATGGGGAGTGAGGTGGGGTGGGTATGGTAAATTACTAACCGGGAAAATAAATACCCACTCTGACACAAGACCCCTTGTGCGGACAGGGGTCTTATCATCTCGAGATTAAGCCCACTGGGCTTCAATTCGAGGTTTTATGGTATAACATTATAAAAATAGACTGAGTATTTCAAGACCCTTGGTTATAAAAATATAATCCCTGAGGATAGCACATCCATAGACGCACTAAACGAGATTGACTTAACTATGAGGCCGTTGCTGCGGCTATTGCATATTGTAAAAATAATAAAAGCCTTGGTTTAGATACCATAACAAATGAAATGTTAAAGAACGGAGGAAATGGCATGATTAGATCACTATATTATATTCTGTTTAAAAGGTTGAGTGAATTCAAGACAATTCCAAACGACTGGAATAAGGGTGTCATAATTCCAATATTTTAAAAGGGTGATCCCAAAGACCTTAGCAACATACAGAGGCATTACACTTACCCCGTGTGTCGCTAAGGTTTACAACCGCATTATCTCCCAAACAGTGTCAGATTTCTTTGAAGAGTTTGCGACAATCAGAAGGCAAAAAAATATTTTTTGCATTTTTAGATTTAAAAAAAGCATTTGACACTGTTTGGAGAGAAGGGTTATTTTCAGCTGTTAATAATATTGGGGTTAAAGTAAATTTACTCCATATTATTAAGAATTTGTATGCAAATGTACAATGTAAAGTTATTTTTCAAGATATAGAAACTGAATTCTTCAATATCGATGAAGGAGTCAAACAGGGCTGTTCACTGTCACCTATTTTGCTTTAAATTTTCATCAATGAATTACAAAAAACGATAACAAACACTAACCTTGGAGTTATTATATTTAATATTAAAATTGGAGCCTTGTTTTGGCTGATGATGTAGTGTTAGTCTGTGAAGACGAAAGAGATCTAAATCTCCTTAAAGCAGCAAGTGAATTTTCAAGTAAATGGAAACTGGATTTTAATTACAATAAATCCAATGTTCTTACAGGACAACGTGTAAATAAATATATAGAAAATGGAAATTAGGTAACAATTTTATTACAGAAACTGACTGCTATAAATATCTTGAAATTTATATCTCTAACACTAACACCGACTAACGTTAATAGGATAATAGCATATATACAATTATCTATAATCAGGACAACTTTATTAGAACTTTAATGTAACTTTAATATAACTTTAATAAAGTTTATTTTTGGGTGACTTGATAATCGGTCTCCTTACCATCAACTATGGTTGCTGCGTGTGGCTTAGTGGTTGTAAATCCTCAACCGACAAAATTAAAAACCTTCAATATGAAATGGCAAGGATTCTAAGAGCACTTAATAGATATGTAGCTAAAGAAGCATTATAGAGATCAACAGGTTGAAAAATTTAGACGATGACAGGTGGCTCCAATTACTCTTAAAAGCATTATGTATAATGAAAATAAAATGAAATGGAAATTGTTAAATATCATTAATCAGCTTCTTTCGAAGCATGACTTAAACCATGACTTTTGTGTAAATCAATCAATTTACCTTTCATCTGAATTCATAAATTGTACAAATGATGATAATGAATGGTTCGAAAGAGCTTGTAAGAAATCAACTTTAAATGAATATCTCAGATATAAAAACGAACCTTTTTTTTAAACATATCTATGTAATAAAACTGACTTTAAAGGAATCAGTCTTAAGTTTAAAGCAAGGTCTAATTGTTTAGCTTTAGAAGGTAGGAAAATTACTTGGTATGATGGATGCACAGGTTTTTGCAAATTATGTAACTGTAACTCTGTGAAAAATATAGAGCACATTCTATTACAATTTTATAATATTAGGGCTAAGACCTTCTATGAAATTAAAATTGCTCTATTTAAAAATAATTTTCATGAATATTGGGAAAATTTCTCCAATGGTTCACCAGATCTAAAAATTGATTATTTGCTTGATGATCTGTTCTCCACAAACTCCACTCTTGGTTTAATGCATGGGAAAAACGAACACATGTTTTAAATTACAATACTAATAATGTTATTAGTTTATAAGCCTTTTTTTCCCTTCTTTCTTTACATGATTTTAAGAATAGACATTAACTGTACTTCTTGTGTGTATTTGATTTGTATGTTTTTATATCCATTTCACATTGTACCGGTATTTATTATGTTATGTGCTTGTTTTGATTTATTTATTTATCTATTTTTATTTACTCTATTTTGTTATTTTTTTTTTTCTTAGTTAAGATTTTAAATTTTAGAATAATATTATTTTAATTGCATATGGATTTTTCATTACTATTATCTCTTTTTTTTTTAAATGAATTTTATCTTTAACTTTTGTTCTGTTGTATGGTTGAACCTCTCATGCGTGAGAGTGTTCCTCTGCTTTGAAAGAGAGAGCCAATAAATTATTTAGATCGAAAATTTGCGAGATTGGCGCCCTCTAGGAGTCACTGATATAATGAACAAACGTTATACGCGGGTGTGCTGCGAGTACGGCGATACGGGTGTCGCCGCGGACTGGACACTGATTTTTTCCCGATTTGAGTGTTGGATTAGGCCTAGGCGTTCCATTGGGGAAAATGGCCGATTATGAGAGCGTTTTGTGTGTGAAACCTGAAGCTTTTGTCTATAAAATTCCTCCGAGGGCTACAAATAGAGGATATAGGTAATTTCCGTGTTATATTTTTTCTAAACACTTTCTTGCTTGATAGCAAGGCTAGGCCAGCCTGCCTTTCCTACGTATTGTCACACTAGGGCTAGCCTAGGCTAGGCTAGGTATGGATAGACCTACCTAGAGCTCAAGGGCCTGGCATGGGTAGCAGACCTGTCACCCCGTAAGTCTTACGCATTGCAATCAAATCTTACGGTCTTGCGCAAACCTGGCAAAACTTAAGCTTATCCTAAAATATGAGTAAATTATGTTTCTTTTTCAATTTGTACTGAATTTTCATAAAAAGGGAAGGCCAAGAATAAGATGCCTTTCGTTATCTTAAACTATCTTTCAATAACTGCCTAGGTCCTAGGCCTATTGTATCTGAGATCATTATAAACTCACTAATATCGATTAGATATGCCATTTAAGCCAAAGCGTCCAGGGACCGAAGGCCCTGGCAGGGCTTGACCCCGACCGGGAGCTCTTAGCGGCCCCCTGTCACCCAACCACTGTTCGTGCTTTCGGTAGGTATGTTTAATAAAAATATAATCATCTTTTTAGATCCAAATGATAGTGATACAAGTTAATTCTTTAACATTTAAATAATACAATAAAGTTTATTTGATAAAATTTGACCTAGCCTAGTGGTTGATTTTTATATGATTTTTTTTTTAAAACATATTTTTGAGCAAAAATTTGGCATAGGGATTGTATGTTATAGTTGTGACCTTTCAACACTACGACGAAAGCGATGTGACAACTGCATAACTTAATTGGTCACTGTACATTATATTCCTGTCAACAACACAAATCATCCAATCAAAATTGAAATTCCTTGTCACATGATCTATACAGACCAATTACAGTCCAGACATTCCCAATATTGGCGGCATATGCAATTTCGTGACGATAATTCTCGTGTATACTCGGATATATTATGTCAAAATATCTTACTAACTAGAAATTGCAAGTGAAGTGCTGCGAAGTACAACTGCATATAAATGTTCTTCGAACAAAATTATTTATGCGAGTCAAGTGAAAATAATGAATAATAAAAATATAACAAATAATATGAGAC